GTGACACGATCTAACAAACACTGGAATGACCTCTGCATTTCTTCTGTTGTTATGGCCTTTAACCTAGTCGTCTCCTTGTGAGGTGCAATTTTTTATTATTTTAAAGCCCCACCCTGGTTCTTGCAGGGGCCGCAATATAGTCCGACCAAAAATATAGTCTAATGGCTGAACGCGGTTTCTGGGACCTCTCCACGGGTGATCCTCATCCACATTGTGGCACTCTGTGTCATCGGGTGTTTATCGCTTGTGTGATGTCCTAGTGGGGTATAAAATCTACTCTTCTTATGGCCCTTGAAGTGGATGTTACTGCCCTTTGGATGTCATCAATATCGTCAAAGAAGCGTCCTTTCAATGTAGCTTTAATTTTAGGAATAGAAATTAATCACAGGGAGACAAATCTGCGAAATATGGTGCATGGTTAAGAACACATAACCATTCAAGTGCCAAAAATTCTTGTACAACTACCGCCCGGTAAGCCGGTGCAATTTCATGAAGAAGGTACAAATCAGCAAAAGTTTTTTTCTTCCCCAAATCTTGCACTTAAATTTTACGAATGGTCTTTCTAATAACACCAAATCTACCATCTACCATCATCCTCACAGTCCAAAAATGATCTTCTTGTATCCGTTCTCTGACTCTTGCAATGAGATCCTCATTACGAACAGAAATTAGGCATCCAGGTCTAGTTGCATTAGTATTCATTTCCACAACTTTTAAATTGTGAATATGACCTGAAAATCTATGCACAAGATGAACAGTTATCCCCATAAACTTGTTGCATCTGTTCAGCTGTCTCAATGGCGTTTTTTTTCTGAGTTTTAAACATAATTTAAGGTGGCTTTTTGTTCCATGCTGATTACGTAACAATGCACCTCTGACTAGGTTAACCAAATGGCGGCTTGTTTGCTATCTGTTTATCAGGCGGCAATGAGAAGTTGCCAGATCATAGATGAAGGTTGCCTCTTTAGATTCCATGCTTTGCTTCATAAATTACCGTTTTTTCTTGGCCATAATCAAATCATTACCTAATTGTCGGACCTTGTATGTTAAGTACACGAAGCAATATGTATGAATATACTTATACATATGTGTGTGTGTGTGCATGTGTGTGTGTGAAAAATATGCGCGAGAAAGAGGGGGAAAGAGAGAGAGAGAGAGAGGAAGAGAGAGAGACAAATAAAAAGCTGGTAGGGGGTATGCTGAATCAGAAATAGATCTTGCACTGACATAGGATTGTATGTTCTGACATCAAAGGAGGATAGTGTCCAGAAAAGAAACTAAAACAACACACAAACGGAAAGGAAACAGAGATCAGCCTTTGACAGTTGGCTCTTGAGAGTGAGCAGGGGTTGCAAGACCTAGTGGAGCAAGTAAACAGAAGGAGTGCAGCATTTGGATTAGATATTAATTTGAAAAAGACAAAAACCATGATATTTAGCACAGAAAATAATCAGCTAACAATGAATATCACAGTGAACGGGGTGAAATTGAAACATGTTAAAAATGTCTTATATCTTGGACAAGTAATAACATGTGACGGCAGAAGTGAAACAGAAGTCAAGATAAGAATAGGGATGGCCAAAAAACATTTTCAACATGCAAAAGTTACTGATATCAAGAGAAATAAGCAATACATTAAAAATGAGAATTGTCAAATGTTATGTATTCTCAACCTTACTGTATGGCACAGAGACATGGACAATGAACAAACAACTGGAAAATCGTATCAATTCTTTGGAGATGTGGATATACAGAAGGTTAGGTCGTATTTCATGGAAACAAAAGCTATCAAATACAGAGGAACTGAGGAAATTGGGAATGAAAAGAGAGTTGCTAGGTGAAATAAAAAAGAGACAAGTGAAATATTTTGGTCACATTAAAAGACATAACAGTATTGTAAAGATCATCCTAGAGGGAAAGGTTCAAGGTAGGCGAGCAAGAGGCAGACAGCGTTACAAGTGGGAGGATAACATCAAGAGATGGACCAACAGCAGTATGAGACAAGGGCAAGAGACAGGGCTTGTTGGAGATTCATTGCAGCCAACCTTCATTGTGGAGACGGCACCTGATTGATTGGTCTTGAATACGATAGTTACCCGCATTGGTAACATAGGGGAGTGAATTAATGCAGCAGCGACGAAACTGGGCTAAAGTTTTTGAGATGAGCAAAGAATTGGGCACTTGCAAAGCAGTGAACCGGTCTCTCGTTGTGCGTTTGTTGTTCCGGAGACTAGCTCACGTTGCGGACGTGCATCTACTGAAAGTAGCGCCCTCTGGAGTGGACAGACTCACGTAAGTAGAGGATTGACAACATCATAAATGCCCCCTCAGATACTCGTGATTGTGTTTTCCTGATTGTGTTTTCATGATTGTGCCCGTTAGATTGGAGCTCTAGGCTCCAAGGTAGTGGTTAAGACCCAGGTGCCAGATTTTTCAAAGATACTTCCCGTGTGGGTTCCAGGACCCGATTGCCCCACGCCCCGCCCATATACACAATAGCTCACGTCTGATTGATAGTTCCTGAGCATGTCACCTTGGCGCAAGGCTACGGAGATGTTCCTCAATGTCTTTGATATCGCGTTTTATCTATTTCAGCACGCCAGTGCTTTTACGGCTTTAAAAAAAACCTGGAGAAACTGACCCTAACACAACCTCTCCCCCCCCCCCCCCCCCCCCCCCACTCCAAGAGTGCTGCAACCTATGTTAAAGGCATTCTCTTTCTCGGATAAAAACGTAACTGCAAGACAAGACAGACAGCAAACAACAGAGCGGGACACACCTGTAACCTTCAGGAAAGTCGACCAGCTCAACAAACTTGTGAATGAAAAGTGACCGACTCTATTTGGGAAGATTTATGTGAACCTAACCCTGATGTCCAGAATACAAAATGGTTTAGGGCTTGATTCTCCAAGGGCAGTAGCTATAGACGGTCTTCTTTAACTACAAACAGCAGCTTCTTTATATGGGAAAACTGATGACCAATCTCAAAGACACCCGTGCTAACAGTCAGACTAACAACCCCCCCCCCACCCCCCCCCCCACCCCCACCCCCACCCCCACCCCCACCCCCCACCCCCACCCCCCCCCCCCCCCCCCACATCCCTGTGTGGGTTTCCAGGATTCCATTGTGAGGAAAATAAAAATAGACCTACTGCCTTTTAAAGAAGCATGTCGTAAGAGTCGACTAATTGGGATCTTCCTTCGAAATCAGAGTGCATCTGCGTAAGATGCAATGAACCAAAAGTCTGCATAAAAATTAGCCAGTTCTGTAAAATGTATGTGCACGCAAAACTTAAGATCTGGGACAAGAATACTGTCCAGAGGTGGACGAACAACCAAAACTTTTTGCCGGAGTTTACAGCCGGTGGACGCGAAGAAGAAGTGGAAGACTAACATCCAATCAGAGACAGAGATACACGTGCTGACAGTCCGACTAACATCCAATCACAGACAGAGACACAAATGCTGACAGTAAGACTAACATCCAATCACAGACAGAGATACAAATGCTGACAGTAAGACTAACATCCACTCACAGACAGAGATACACATGCTGACAGTCAGACTAACATCCAATCACAGACAGAGATACACGTGCTGACAGTAAGACTAACATCCACTCACAGACAGAGATACACATGCTGACAGTCAGACTAACATCCAATCACAGACAGAGATACACGTGCTGACAGTAAGACTAACATCCAATCACAGACAGAGACACATGATGACAGTAAGACTAACATCCAATCACAGACAGAGACACATGCTGACAGTAAGACTAACATCCAATCACAGTCAGAGACGCAAATGCTGACAGTAAGACTAACATCCAATCACAGACAGAGATACAAATGCTGACAGTAAGACTAACATTCAATCACAGACAGAGATACACATGCTGACAGTAAGACTAACATCCAATCACAGACAGAGACACATGCTGACAGTAAGACTAACATCCACTCACAGACAGAGATACACATGCTGACAGTCAGACTAACATCCAATCACAGACAGAGATACACGTGCTGACAGGAAGACTAACATCCAATCACAGAAAGAGGTACACGTGCTGATAGTAAGACTAACATCCAATCACAGACAGAGATACACGTGCTGACAGTAAGACTAATATCCAATCACAGACAGAGATGCACATGCTGACAGTAAGACTAACATCCAATCACAGACAGAGATACAAATGCTGACAGTAAGACTAACATCCAATCACAGACAGAGATACAAATGCTGACAGTAAGACTAACATCCAATCACAGATAGAGATACAAATGCTGACAGTAAGACTAACATCCAATCACAGACAGAGATACAAATGCTGAGAGTAAGACTAACGTCCACTCACAGACAGAGACAAATGCTGACAGTAAGACTAACATCCACTCACAGAGACACACATGCTGACAGTCCGACTAACATCCACTCACAGAGACACACTTGCTGATAGTCAGATTAACATCCACTCACAGACAGAGACACATGCTTACAGTCAGACTAACATTTAATCACAGACAGAGACACATGCTGACAGTCAGGCTAACATCCACTCACAGACAGACACACATGCTGACAGTCAGACTAACATTTAATCACAGACAGAGACACATGCTGACAGTCAGGCTAACATCCACTCACAGACAGACACACATGCTGACAGTCAGACTAACATCCACTCACCGACGGAGACACATGCTGACAGTCCGACTAACATCCACTCACCGAAGGAGACACATGCTGAGAGTCAGGTTAACATCCAATCACAGACGGACACATACATGCTGACAGCCAGACTAACATCCAATCACAGACAGAGACACACATGCTGACAGTTAGACTAAAATCCAATTACAGAGACACACATGATAACAGCCAGGCTAACATATAGTGGTATAAGTATGCCACGTCTCATGCCCCAGCCATATGAAAATGACTGTTATCTGTTAATGATCAATAACTGACCATGTCTACAGTTGTCAAAAATGGACGCACAAAGTCTGCTGGCGGCGATTTTGATATTGGTATCAACAGCGACAAACACCCAAGCCAAGACTATCCTGTTCTACCCTCCACCACCAACAAGTTACATCGCTTACCACGCCAATGTCGCTGGGGCTCTGGCCAGTCTGGGCCATGAGGTGTGGCTGTGTGTTCCTCATGCTCAGCTCAAGAAAAACCTGGTCACGGATAAGATTGTCAATATCCTTTCCTACGGGGAGGACTTGGGAGACATCGAGAGGCAGCTGTACCAGACCACTAGGATTTTGGATAAGTTCTGGGAGAGGCAGCCAACACAGGGGATACACGCGTTGTATCCCGTCTCTCAGGTTTTGTTGAAAATCGTAAACGTTCTTCTTGCCGACAAAATGTTTCTAGACAAAGTAAGGAATCTGAAGCCGGATCTGATTGTCCTGGAGTCCGTCCCATTCAACATGAACATGGTGGTACTGCCGTATATGCTGGACATCCCCTTTGCATTTATTGGAACAAACCATGAAGCGATCATGTCAAAGGTCCCATTCAGTCCTGCAGTCACGCCGTACTCCATTGACTTCCTTAGTGATCGGATGACATTCTTTCAGAAAGTTTACTTAACACTGTGTTACCTGGTATCTATAAACTTCGATCTTTACCACGACAGTAGCCTAGTGTCAAAGTTTGCTCCACATAAACCCCACAAGTCCATCTATGATATTGCGGCCAACGCTGAGATTTTCATTGCAGAAGTTGACCACATACTGGACTACCCACGGACAATGCTGCCCAACACAAAACTGATTGGTGGATCTTCTGCTTCTCCTGCAAAACCATTGGTTGGGGAGTTCCAGAAGTTTGTTGATGAAGCTACAACTGGTATCATCGTCATGTCTTTTGGCGGGGCTGTAGTTAACTTGCCTCCAGACATCTCCAACAAGATTGTTTCTGCTTTCAAACAACTGGACCTCAGAGTTGTGTGGAAGATAAACATGACCTCACCTGACCCTAAACAAATCATGACCTCCTTGTGGATCCCACAGAATGACCTCCTGGGACACCAGAAAGCCAAACTGTTTGTGTCCCACTGTGGCAAGAACGGACAATACGAGGCCCTCTATCACGGGGTGCCCATTCTCTGTCTGCCCATATATGGAGATCAAGGTTACAACTCAGAAAGAGTCCGGGTAAAACAGCTTGGACTCTACACCGACATACGTGAGGCTAGCGCAGACGAACTGGTAGCCTTGATGAAAGAAATCATCTATGGCGGAAAATACGCAGAAAACATGAGAAAAGCTTCTGAACTTTATAGGGAGTTGTACAAAGTTCCCAAACATGAAGCCGCATACTGGCTGGACCACGTGATTAAGTATGGCGGGGAGTATATGAGGTCACCGGGTCAACAGATGCCCTGGTATCAGCTCCTAGTTTTAGATGTTATTGCTTTTCTGTTTCTCGTGATTGTTGTTATCGTGTTGGCATTTTACGTTCTTATTAGGATCTGCTACAGGTTGTACAAGGGAAGTCCACAGAAAATCAAATCGAAACGTAATTAACTGGGCCCTTTTAAAGGTCATGGATTAGACCTTTCGGCAACGCTACAAAAACACGTTATCAGTGTGATATAGGTAATTGCACAAGAATACATAACCATGACAGGGCCGGTTTAAAGATTTAAATCAGTGTTAAAAGTGTTACTGTTGAGTAAACCGTTGATTAAATAAAATGAATTGCATAATTGTCAATATTAAGAGAACACACACATACACACACACATACACGCACACACACACGCACTCACACACACACACACACACACACAAACCAGTTGATAAAAACCATTTATGTTATCGTATATGACTGGCCTTAAAGCAGTTACCTGAGAATTTTGCACAAAATAATTTTTACTGACATTAGTTATTCAATGTTCAAAGTGTCATTTGCTACGTCACACATAATAAACTGCAGAAGTGTTTGCACTTGTCGCTGTTGTGCTGACATTGATTAAAGCTATGGCAAGTGCAGACTAGAAATATAACATGATATACAGGCAATTTAGGAAACAACAGTGTATGATATCTTTTTGGTGTAATCCGACGCTAAAGAAAATGGTTCGCTGGCAGCAGTATTCGTTGAACATTAGAGTGAAACAATTAGCAAGCTAAAACATAAAAAACATACAATCTCAAAAAATAAACAAACACATACATACACAATAAAATATGGAAGGTACAACAGATTTTATCAAAGAAATTAAAACAGTCTGCAGCCTGCAGTGGAAAATTAATACTTTATTACAACTGACACCTAAGACTATGTGCTTTTTTCTACTTTTCGTATGCTTAATCAGTCACTCAAACATATTTAATATATCCACAGAACATACTAGATTTATAGAAAACAAGCTTATTGAGCTATGCAGCTCAAATCAAGGATTTTTTTAAAAATCAGTACATATACAATCAACACGCACACATAATATCTTTTATTTGTTTTCTAAGGGATAATTCCCTTGGAATTTTTACACATATCAGCACAATGTTAATCAATCACGTACTTATTAATTTTTTGCACATTTTTTTCTGCTGCACCTTATATATATATATATAGTTATTGCTTTTGTTTTGGGGGAATATAAAAACAAATAGATGAATGGTGAGGACAACTGATGAAATAAAGAGAAATAAAGAAAGAAGAGAGAACATTTTGATAGACTTCTACTTTTTCATGTTCTGTAACAGATTACAATCGCAGTGACTGCTTACTTTTCAACAAAATTGGAGGGCAAAAACGTCAAAGCAAATTGGATGTTTCATTCTTATTATTATTTATTTTGAAGTGTAGCTTAGGTTTTGTTTGATTACTCATATACTTTGGACATTGCGTAGAAAGGGGACTTGGGGTGAAATTAATGCAACCAGCAGTTACTCTCCACATGCAATTTTTTTTTTTTTTTTTTTTTTTTTTTTTTTTTTTTTTTTTTTTTTGGTTTTGTTTTGACGAAGATTTTTTCTCTACGAACGATTAGATAGGACCTGAAAAATATCTACTGGAAACATGTAAAACAGAGACAGGAAGTAAAAATGTCAACTCTTCTCGTAGTTTCTATAATTGACATTACTAACTGTTGTTACCGGTAATTCCCTAAAAGCCTAAATAAAACAGAGCCATATAGAACCAATGCGGGTTAATGAATTTGTTGTTTAGATGCAATTGAGAATACAACAAAAGATTCCGATCTACTACAAAAGTCAGTGGAGAAAGTTAAGGACTATAAATAAATGGGGTCTACATCTTCCACTGACATCTTGTCGTACATCCAGACATTTGTGCTATATTATGTTATAGAGAAGGAAAGGCACCACCGATGATAAGGTCAGAAGTAAAGTTTCTCCTTTTCATAGCACAAAGTCTGGGATTTACTGTTGAGACCAAGCGTTGCCCATGCGCATTGATCCCTACCTCGGTCTGGCTTGTTTACTCCAAAGGAAAGGTAACATCAATACGTTTGGAACACAGCAGGCTGCAGAAGCTGGCGGAACAGAAGAGCAATGCCGTGTCTGTCCACTTGTCGGAGGTTCCCTCAAAGAACATTTGCTGCTAAACCAAGACTTTCAGCTAACAATGCCCTGCTTTAACACCACTTTCAAGTTGCATTTCATCGTCCTATGATAAGTGAGAAAATCCGAAATCGTTGGTCCATTATAGAGTGTCAGTCTTGATAGACGCCGCCCAACATTCAACGTTAAGAGAGCCAGTATTGGTTGCTGTTTTACGGTAGCTCACTCACAACAGTATAAACATTTTTAAAAAAAAGCCCCTAGACTGAAAAGCTAAAAAATTGTCAAACCATTAGCTGAATTAATAATTCAAGACAAATCTACACACACACACACACACACACACACACACACACACAGATAGAGAGAGAGAGAGAGAGAGAGAGAGAGAGAGAAAAGAAAGACTCTACGTGAGAAACTGTGGCACAGCACGCAAATATAAAATATAACGATGTGTAAGACTATGTATTGGCTGTCCATTCTTATCCAGAATAGTTCTGGAAGAGTTGACTGCATGGCCCGACACTGTGAGCTGCAGATTTCATTTGAAATGTCTTTCGACTGTGACCAACGTGGTGACGTGAACTGTAGATTCAGAAAATAGCGCGTGGCTTGTTGGAGCGGTATTGGTGGTGCCTTTTGTGGTTAAAAGTGATTGCTTGTGCAACTTCTGATCTGTTTGTAAATCCTGCTTTCATCGATGATAAGCTGCATTTCTATTGTCGGACTGTTTGTGTTAGCACTTCTGAGGGCTGCCCTATGCTTTTAATGCAAATATATGCTAGTGGATATAGTTCGTTCGTCCATCTCAAGTGATGAGGACCACTCTTTCTTTCATTTGTCATGAAACTGCAGTTGAATGTTTGTGAGTCTAGAGGTGACTTATAAATTCAATACGTGCCCAGAAGAGTCTAGGACAATGAGGGCAGGGCACAATATCTGTATACAAAGGACTTCTTTGTCCGTTCTTTCTTGCCTGTCTTCGCTGTTCAGCTTGCCTTGTTCTAGATGCCTCGCAGATCGTTGTATAATTTCGGTTATATGTGCGCCATACAGTCTTGTGCTGCAGCCTCCTAGGTGTAGGGTTTATACTGAAGGCTTTCAATGATGCCTTTAGTGCAGTGATTTTCAAACTTTGCGCTGCGGCGCCCCAGGGAGCCGCGACCTCTTCACAGGGGCGCTGCGAAATATTGTAAAAGCTTCATAATTAATAAAACCAAGGCATGAATGGTGATATTTTTTGCTTAGGTTAGGGCGCCATGGAACAATTGTAATTCAAAAATGGCGCCTCGACCAAGAAAAGTTTAGGAAACGCTGCTTTAGTGTAACCTTGAAGCGCTTTTTCCGAGAGCTAGTGGATAAATTAAGACTGCAGTCTCAAATTGTCTAAAAAGACTGTAATGGACATTCTGTGTGTTTTTTCGTTAGTACTAGAGGAGCAACTATGAGGTGCTCCATGCGCTATGAAGCTGAAATTTAGATTACTTGAGGTTCAAAGTTTGAACAACGGATCAACATCATGGCACACGGATAGTACCCGAAAAAAAGGGAAAGGTAAAGTCGAGAGATGTAAATGAGCGTCATTGCACACGGTTAAAAACCATAAATGCTCTGCCACCAGTACTGACATTTAATAAGAAACTGTCAGCCTGTGTCGCCGCCCGCACCTAACTCTGTAGCTACAGCGACGTTCCTCCATTTACCCCAGAGTGTCAACTCTTGTACCTATTTCCTAGAGGCTGGGTGAACCCCGGGAACCGCCCGGTTTCGAACACCGACTATGGCTGCAGCGAGTCGCAGCTGGATGTGAAAGCGAGCCTCCTATGGGCTGCGCTAACGCGGCTCCCTGACAATATAGTAGACACGGATAATAATCCATAAATTCCCCGTGTGGGTTCCGGGGTCCTATTGTAGGGAAAACAAGAATAGACCCACTGCCTACCCAAAAGCATGACGTAAGAGTCGACTAATTGGAAGCTTCCTTCGAAGTCGGAGTGCATCTGCATGAGAGGCAAGGAACCAGCAGTCTGGCACACAAATGAGTCAGATCTGTAAAACGGATGCACACGCAACCCACAGGTTTTGGAGCAGAACTGTAGTCCAGAAGTGGACGAACAACCAGAACTTTCAACCAGAGTTTACAGCCGGTGACCTCAAAGAAGAAAGAAGAGACGAACCCAGGCTCCAATCTTTTTCTAACTCAAGACTGAGTCTGAAGATACTCAGTGCAGTGCACTGGCTCTGTAAAACCCGCGAGCGTCCTGCAATTCTTTAGGTCGGTTGTTAACTCCAAATTGTTTGCCCAGGCAGAGCCGTTGATGTGCTCTATTTGATTTCCAACGAGCGCAACATTGCACACAGGCGTCTGATCTCACTACCCAGAGACCAGAGGGAATTACTAAAGTCCAAGTCCATCTGAAAAAAATCCCAGCCCTTACCGGGAATTGAGCCCAGAACGTCTAGCACTCGAGGCGGACACCATCCCTCGGGGCCACGCAGCCCCCCTTAACCTTACTAGTTTCGGGAATTGTCAGGAATAATCTCCAAATAAAACTGAGTCAGAGGAGAGAACTCTTTCACTTTATATTCTCAAGAATCAGTCTCCGACCAATATTTGGACACCTGTCTCCACAGATGGTTTGTTAAAGAAGCCGCAAAAGAAAAAGGGGAGTGGGTGGAGGGATCTAGATATCACGCCATCTCGGCCCACACAAAGACGCTCTCAGTAGCGGCATCTTCCTCTCGTATCTCCCTCGCTCTCTCTCTCTCTCTCTCTCTCTCTCTCTCTCTCTCTCTCTCTCTCTCTCTCTCTCTCTCTCTTTCCCTACACTTTCCACTACCCTTCTCCTCATGATCTCCTTTACTATCCCTTAAACCTATCTGTCTAGGACTTCAACTCTCAACTCACCAACTAACTGCTTTGCAATCTCCTACTAATACCTAATGTCAATGTAAAAATGTATATATTTTTTTTGCGCACACACTTGCACCACCAA